ACAGCACAGATGGAACTCAAATTATGCTTATTGAAAGAAACCAGATTCGAAAGGCAATGCATTTTATCATTCCCTTTATATGAAATACCTAGGAAAGACAAATTGATGGAGATGATAAACAAATTAGTGCCTTTCTAAAGGTAGGAGGAGTGAGAATTAATTAAAAATGGCCTCCCAGAAATTGTGGAGGTAATAGAAATGTTCTGAATTTTGGCAATGTTTATAAATGTACTAAAAATCATTAAGTTTGACACTTAGAACAAGTGAATTTTACGACCTATAAGTTACACTTTGATAAAGCTGTTGAAAACACAAAGAAAGTAGACTTTGGACACGTGAGTAGTGCATCTCTAATGCCCACGGGAGAGGAAATATCAACTGACAGGGATATTTTGGCCGATTCACAGACTTACTGATACAGAAAAGAAAAGTGTGTCAACTATGGTAGCAGGAAAACACCGAGTTACAATCATCCATTTACTGCTTTAACTTTACACTCACTAAGCAGCCTCTTAAGAGAGTATTTTGTTTTGAATGTACATTGATACTATTTGGAGTAAGCGAACACATTTTCCTGTTTGTTATATACTAATATACTAACGTGTTCTAGCAAATATGGTCTTTGATTGCTCTTTGTAAAATTCATATATTGATATCAAATATGTATATAAATGATATATTCATAAATGTCTATGTAAATCATATGTATTTTGAGAGTGAATGGTCCCAAGGAACTGATTCATCGGGCTGGCTGACAACTATAGAATTTCTAGGGTTGATGCTTGTTCCATGTAAATGAATGAATGATTCGCAAAGTTTAGAGACAATCGATCAAAGATTGATATGATTTGAATCTGGCATGTTACTTGCTTGCTACTTTAGTGACTCGTAAGATTTTACCAAAAGAAACGGTTCTGGGAAGTTGAAATGAATGGTGTCTTTGGAAGCTCGTGTTTGCTTGTATTCCTTCCTAATTTCTGTGCGTGTCTTGTGTGTTTTAATGAGTCATAGGAAGAGTAATTATGAGATATAGAAACTGCTTGAAGAATTAATTCTGAGATACAATGTAAAATACTCAATTGATGATAAGGATAGTTTAAAAGGAGCAGATTGGGACACATTAATTATAAATTATTTCAGCACTGGGCTGATTTTTCACTAATTTAATACTGTTTGTCATAGTGATGTAGAAGGACGAAATTGAGATGACAGGCTGAAACTGGATAATCAAAGTCAAGGTCATGCATTGTTCCCCACATTCATACACTAAGCTATTTGATATGTGACACAATTCCACATAATTCGTTTTTGACTTAGATGATGATTTTGAGATCTGCAAAATGTTTCTAAGTTTACACCAATAATCTTGTAGAGGCCTACAGGCACCAGGAATGAATTTAGAATCTTTTTTTTTTTTTTTTCAATGAATTTAGAATCTTAGCCTGTGGTCCAAGAAATAGAAACAAGCCACACAATGGAAAACTATTAGCTGCTATAAAGGAAAAAAATACTAGTACATGTGGGTGGTGCCTGTGGCTCCAAAGAGTAGGGCACCAGCCCCATATGCCAGAGGTGGCGGGTTCAAACCCAGCCCTGGTCAAAAACTGCAAAAAAAAAAAAAAAAAAAAAAAAAACCCAAAACAACAACTAGTACATGCAACACCAGGAATTAATTTCAAAAAAATTATACTCTGTGAGAGAACCCATATCAAAATTAACACATGTTTTACTATTCCACTTAAAAGAAATGTTCAAAAAAGATAATATGTACAGAAAGAAAGTAGGTTCGTGATGGCCTAAGGCTGGGTGTGGGAATGGGAATGATTGTAAATGGACATAAAATTTCTTTTTAGTGTGAAGAAAATGTTCTAAAATTAGATTATGATGATATCTTTAAATTCTGTAAATACACATTCTTTTTCTATATATATTCATTGAATTGTACACTTACAATGAGTAATAGTTATGGCACGTACAATATATCTCAATAAAGCTATTTAAGGATATAGAAATCGTTGCTAGCTATAAAAAATTAAACTTTTGTATTGATTTGATCTTATACAAAGCTAGAGAACAAAAAAAAATGAGCAGGAACGTCTAGCTACTCAGGATATTTACTTTCATAATTGAAGTATTTGTTCTACTGGACCTAAGTTTTAAGTGCAAGTTGAAGTTCAAATTCAAGCTCTGTGATTGGCTTTAGCAGTAAACTTTGGCAATTATTGGAACTATGTGAGCCCCACTTTTGTCTTTAAAAGACAATAACATTTAACTCATAGGGTTGATGCAAGGGACTTGGCACAGTCTAGTTTGAAAAAAGAAGAAAGAGAGAGAGTTATTCCCAGTAATCAGTAATTACTACTTCAAATCGTTGGCACTAGGAGTCTTTTCTGTATTCCTTCTATCATGAAGAAGGGCCATGATTATAAGAACGCTGTTAAAATTACTTAGACCTCAGGATAGTGATAATTTCCGTGCTTTCTACATTATCTCAAAGGGAGCTATCTTTTTTTTTGCAGTTTTTGCCCGGGGCTGGATTTGAACCCACCACTTCTGGTATATGGGGCCGGCGCCCTACTCCTTTGAGCCACAGGTGCCGCCTGGTAGTTATCATTTTCGCTACGCCCCTGTGCTTGCATCATTGGACAGCGGGTAAAATAATGTGCTCACAGACCTACTTCATCCATCTCCGTCCATTCTTTACACAGTAGTCAGCAAATTTCAGTAATTAAAAGACACTAAAACTTCAGCAGCAGTCTGAAAGGAATATAAAAAGAGGAGTTTTCAGGAAATGAATAAGACATGAATGTAATCAGTTGTGGAAATGATAAGGGGGATTAAAAACCTAACGGTAGGGAAAAACAGTTGCAGGTGTGTCTTGTTCTGTTTTAACCAATCAGATGAGACTGTAACCTCTTTTCTTTAAAGGGGGTACTCTCCTCATCACCAGCTCTTTCTTCAAACTCGGATCCTCCAAGCACAGGATCCCTGGGCAATCCCAAGGGGTGCTTCTCTAATCTGGCCCAGGGGAGGTTTGAACCCACTACCTCTGGTATGAGGGCCAGTGTGCTATCCATTGAGCTATAGCACCCAGTGGTTCTCTACTAAAGGAAAAGGATACCCAAGAGTTTTTGTTAATCAAAGAGCTTGAAAAACTGAATCTAACTAAACCCCGCTATATAATTATACTTTGGTCTAAGAAGTAATGAGGTAGAGGCAGCGGGGGAAACAAGGAAGGAGGGAAGGGAAGAATGTCTCCAGTCTAATTGCTCCCTGAGTTCCGTAGTCCCCTGGTGCCCACCAGGGGACAAGATCCCAGAGGGAACTAAGGACATGTATCTCTGTTGAGGGGCTGACTGCTGCTCCTTCACTCAGGGGCCAGAGAGACCCTGCTGGGTCTAGAATTTCAGGCTTGAGCAGCTAAATCTGAGAAAAAGGAATGTTCAGCTTTTCTGGCCTCTGATGTTCCACAGCCTTTAGAGGCAGAGGACATAGGCAGGGTGGGTGTGGGGCTTGGTTTTCAGCCCCACTCTGCCATATCTCCGTTCAGTCGGCAAGTAAGTTTTCTCTCTAAAATGCTTTGCTCTCCTCCCCTTCCAATGGGTTACACTCACTAGAGGAAGATGGGAAGAATGTGGGGATAGGCTCTGAGTTTGGGCTAATACTGACTTAGTTGACCCTGTGGTATTTTCTTAAGACATTCCCTGATGAATGAAGCTTAACATAAAAACCTAATGGTAGGGCGGTGCCTGTGGCTCAAAGGAGTAAGGCGCCGGCCCCATATGCCAGAGGTGGCAGGTTCAAACCCAGCCCTGGACGAAAACTGCAAAAAAACCCTTAATAGTGATTGCATATGGGCAATCATGCTGCAGACCAAATTGCTATTGGACTCTGAACTCTATGTTAAAAGAAGATGTCTGTTTTAATGTTGGGAATTATCTCTTTCTTTTTCCTACATCAAATATCACCTCTTCCATTTTGTTTAATTTTGTGATACTAGAAAATTCCCACTTTTTTTTTTTTTTTGAGACAGGAGCCTCAAGCTGTCCCCCTAAGTAAAGTGCCATGGCATTTCAGCTCACAGCAACCTCCAACTCCTGGGCTCAAGCGAGTCTCCTGCCTCCGCCTCCCAAGTAGCTGGGACCACAGGCACCCGCCACAACTCCTGGCTATTTTTTGGTTGCAGCCATCATTGTTGCTTGGCGGGCCCTGGCTGGATTCGAACCCGCCACCTTGGGTGTACGTGGCTGGCGCCTTAGCCACTTGAGCCACAGGTGCCAAGCCGAAAATTCCCGCTTTTTAGTTGTCCCAGCTGAAGGAAAAAGTAGCTTTGTGAATCAGTCACATGAGTAGATAATTCGAGAACAGCTCCAAGTCAACCTATAGAAATAATGTGGAATGAAGTCTTATTAAAACCAGCATAGTAGTATCTGTAATAATTTATTTTTAACAAAGATGGAGGGCAGTGCCTGTGGCTCAAAGGAGTGGGGCTCCGGCCCCATATACTGGAGGTGGTGGGTTCAAACCCCGCCCTGGCCCAAAACTGAAAAAAAAAAAAAAAAAAAAAAGATGGATAGGAGCAGATATATACCAGGAAATATATTGATCTTCATAAGGGTCCTAAGATAGTCTTACACTGTTTATGCAGGTTCAGAAGAGATTTGGAATTATTTTTAGTTACCTAAAGTCACAGAGCAGGCAGCAGAGTTAGCATTTAAACTCAGAAATTTTCGGTCTTAAAGTTTGATTCTATTGGTATAGGTATTTCTTCTATACCTCCTCTAGTGTCATCTCTTCCTTTTGAGGAAAAAGATGAAAAATGTGACTCCCAAATGAATGTCCCACGATAGTAACAGAATTGGACTGACTCCTGTTTAGAAGTTCCTTGCGGTGTTTAGTAACTATCCGTTTCCAGCGAGTTCTACAAAGATATTAGATTTGTGGGAGGAGGGGACTCATCTCAGTGGAGCCAGGCTGTGATCTTCTGTGACTAACCAGCCATGGAGATGGGGAATCGCACTTCACTAACCGAGTTCCTCCTGCTGGGAATCCCTCAGACCCAAGGGCTGGAAAATGTGACCTTTGTCTTCTTCCTGGCCTTCTACCTGCTCACTCTGATGGGGAATCTGCTCATTCTCCTGGCCGTCCTCGCCTCCTCCACCCTCCACACTCCCATGTATTTCTTCTTGGGAAACTTGTCAGTGTTTGACATATTTTTTCCTTCAGTGAGCTCCCCCAAAATGATGCTTTCCCTAACGGGAGGAAGCAGGACCATCTCTTACCGGGGCTGTGCCTCCCAGATCTTCTTCTACCATTTCTTGGGTTGCACCGAGTGTTTCTTGTACACGGCGATGGCCTACGACCGCTTTGCGGCCATCTGCCACCCTTTGCGATACACTGTCATCATGAGCCATCGGGTGTGCTCTGTCATGATGCTGGGCACGTGGCTGGGGAGCTGTCTGCACGCGTGCGTCCTCACATGCCTGGTCTTTAAGTTACCCTACTGTGGCCCCAATGAGGTGGATAATTTTTTCTGTGATATTCCAGTGGTGTTGCCCCTGGCCTGCGCGGACACCTCCCAAGCCCAGACGGTGAGTTTCGTCAATGTAGGCGTGGTGGCGCTCGTGTGTTTTCTCCTTGTCCTCGCGTCTTATACTCGCATTGTTATCTCTGTCCTGAAAATCAGCTCCCCAGAGGGCCGGCGCCGCGCCTTCTCCACCTGCAGCGCCCACCTGACGTCCATCCTGCTGTTCTATGGACCGGTGGTCCTCGTTTATCTCCGACCTGCCTCCAGCCCTTGGCTGGATTCTGCGGTTCCGGTGCTGAACAATATCGTCACCCCTTCCCTGAATCCTTTGATCTATAGCTTGAGAAACAAAGATGTAAAGTTGGCGCTAAGAAAAGCTCTGAGTCAAGGAGCGCGGGATGGGGGAGAGTAAGCTTTATGTCGAGACCCCTCTTTGCAACTTTGTCTTGTATTTATCTGTGGGCAATTAGTCTCTTAGATTTGCTGGGATTACTAAATGAGGTCTAGGGTACATAGGTCAGAATGAATAGATTCTGTTATGATTTATGACTGTATGCTTATATAATTTTTTTTATTTAACTCTTTTAGAATGCCTATTCTGTGGACAGACGCTATTCTTTGCACTTTATAAATATGGACATATGTAATTGTCATATGAAACATACAAAGTCGATAACAGTATTTATCCAATTTACTGAGGAAGGAATTAAGGTCCTGAGCAGCTAAGACATTTCTACAGTGTCACAGAGTTAAAAAGTTGCCGAGCTAGGATGTGACCCCAAGGGTCTTCATTTGGGGTTAATGCTTCCTCTGTCTTGTCAAGATGGCAACATAAATAAATTTAAGTACTTCTTTTCAATTTATATGGAATGCTTTTTAATTTACAAAAAAGTAAAAATCTATAGTTCATCAAATTTGCTCCGTTTTTATAATTTTTAGTCTGTATTTTGATGGATGACCTATTTTAGAAATAGAAATTCTCTTGTATTTTAGAAACCAAGATACCTTTATTTACCAAGATAAATTAGCAATAGCCTCTACTCTCAATTAAGTATATTCTTTCTTTATGACAATGATTTCTATAGGAAGAATTACAGGTTTCCATTCATGCAGTTAAGGACTGAATTTGAATTCCAGAATTGGTGGATTTCCAAAGATAACAATTTTTTCTAATGTAAATACCTTTGAAGAAAACCAGGAGACTGCAAAAAAGTAAAGTGAACAGAAACAACTTAGTAATCTCATAACTAAAAGACAGCCACTATTAAAATTTTGGTGATTTTTTTCTTCCTCTTTCATTAGAGACTAAATTGGAACAAGGATTCCCTGCTTCTTGTTTAGAATCTTTTCATCTCTATATTATCTATATCTATGTTTATAGGTGTGTCTATATATGTATATATGAGATGTATATAGTTGTGATCATATTTTGAATACAAGTTCTCCCCAATGTCTCCCATAAACTTGCCTTACCTAGGGAAAATGGGAAATCGTAGTTAAATGTAATTTTATTTACAAAATATTCACAACAAAGTTTATAAAGAGATAGCCAACATGTGAAGCATTTTTTTTTTTTTTGGTTGGCCATTTGTGTGTCTCTTTGGAAAATAAATCTATTTAAGTTCTTTGTCTGCTTTGTAATTAGTATTTTGTCTTCTCATTGTTGTGTTGCAAGAATTCTTTACACGTTCTCAGATACCAGACACTGAGTAAATAAATGATTTGCAAATATTTTCTCTCATGTTGTGAGCTATCACTTTATGTTCTTGATAATGCTTTTTATGCACAAAAGTTAAACATTTTCATGGTGTCCAATTTATCTGTGCTTTCTTTTATTGCTGGTGCTTTTGCTGTCATGTAAGAAAACATGGCCAAATCTGACATTATAAAGACTTACCCATCTTTTAATCTAAGAGTTTTGTAGTTTAGTTCTTTCATTTAGGTTTATAAGCCATACTTTTTGTTTTCTTGAGACAGAGTCTCACTTTGGCACCCTCAGTAGTGTCTGTGGCGTCACAGCTCACAGCAACCTCAAACTCTTGGGTTCAAGCAATCCTCTTGCGTCAGCCTCCCAAGTAGCTGGGACTACAGGTGCTCACCACAACGCCCAGCTATTCTTAGAGACAAGGTCTTATCTTGTTCTTCACCTATGGGTAAAGCACTTAATCTTTCACCATTATTTGTGAAATTTGCTCTGTGGATTTTTCATAGATGCCATTGGTCATGTCGAATTGCCTGTCATTCCTAGTTTGCTAAATATTTTTATCGTAACAGAGTGTGTATTTTGTAAAACGATTTTTCTGTGTCTATTGAGATGATCATGTGGTTTTTGTGGGGACTTTTGTTTGTTTTTTGATATGGTGTGTTATAGTAACTGATTTTTGAGTTTATCAAACTTGCAAACCTGAGCTAAATCTCCCCTTGGTCATGGTATATAAGTCTTTTTATATGTTGATGGATTTACTTTGCAGATTTTGTTGAAGATTTTTGTATCCATGTTCATAAGAAATATTAACATGTAGTTATTTTCTTTCTTTATTGTGATATATTTATTTTTTGGTATTAAGTAAGTCTTTAACAAATTGACATTAATTCCTCTTTAATTTTATTTTAGAATTTAGTGGTGAAGCCATGTGGGTCTGGGCTTTGATTTGTGATAAGTTTTTTGATTACTAATTCGATATCTTTATTTTTTATAGATCTATTCATATTGCCTATTTCTTTTTTTTAAATTTCTTATGGCATAACTGTGTACATTAATGCAATCATGGGGTACAGTGTGCTGTTTTCATGTACAGTCTTAATCTACAGTCTTAGTTTCATCATCTGTAAAATGGGCATGATAATCCATAGACTTCTGGGCTGGCTGTGGTAAGAATTAAATGAGATAATTGGCACAAGTTATCTTACACACTATTAAGCCTATGCTAGACTCTCAAAAAAGAGACAACTTTCTGTCATTCTCATTCTTACCCACACAACTCGGTTATCTTCTTTCTGTTCTGGGAATATCTCCCTAATCCAGCCTAACTACAGTGGTTTCCTCTTGATTTATGTCACTGTGTCTAGGGCATAATTATAGTTGAACTTAAAATAAAAAAATGGTTGATATAACCCTCCCTAGCCGACATTGACATAAACACTCTGCTGTGAGCTACTTCGCACAGAGACTTACATTATTACCCTCTATCTGAGGCATCCAAGTTGCTACATACATGTTAAATCAAGTGGAATTAATTGTATATGCACATAGTCACCTAACCTTACTTTGATTTTTTATTTCACAGTTCTTAGGGTCCAATAATGACTCTCCGTGTTATCCTTAAGGTGCAAAATACACACATTTTTTCCAATTAACAGACCAAGGTTTGGGGTCTCAGACCTTGATACATGTGGGAGGAACTAAAACCTTCTCTAGCTACATTCTCCCAATTCCTAGGTCATAATTCCAGCAGTAGAGCTCATTGGATGCCATTTATACACTCAGCTCCATGTGCTACTATCTGAGGTTGTGCTGAGTGTTTTTCCCTGTTCCTTGACTTTAGCTCAGATATCCTCAGTGCTGGTGGGTCTACATATTAAAGGAACTGGCTCCATGCCAGGGCTCTACCTTGTTTGGGAGAGGAGTAGAAGGTAATCACCTGATATTCTGCCGGAAGAGAAAAGTAGGGCAATGATTTCTATTTCTAGTACTATTGATTTTGAGATCCTGACCATGAGATTGAGATAAAGGTGAAATACCCAATGTTGAACAGCAGATGGCACTATGGGGGCACTGACAACTAGACTAATCTCCACAGTGACTTAGCTGGCAGCAATAGAGATCCTGGAACTGAACTGTTAGGATAAAGTTGCTTAAAATCATAACAGAGGAAAGGGCCTGATGTTTTCTGTCTCTTCAAATCTTCCCCCACTCTTTTTGGAAACTGAAATCTGTATCCCTGCCATGGGGAGAGGTTGTGAGTGGCAAGGGAGTGTTTTCTGTTCCTTATGCTACAGAAGCAGCCCCTGGTCAGCAGAAGTGTGTTGTGTGTGTGTGTCAGGGAGAGGAGGGGATCTTCAGGTGGGTAGGTTATTCAGGACTTTGTCCTCTGCAGAGATGGGAAGATTAGAAGCATTAACTGTAGCTGAAGAACAATAGGGTCTCCCCTATAAAAGCTGTATGTTCTATTCAGAAAAACAAAAATCATATTTTGAGACGAACAGTCTCACATTTTTCCCTTTTGCCATCAAATCAATACATTTGCCTTTTCTTCCCAAAACCCACTTGTTCTTTTCTGATGCAGCCTTAAGAACAAGGGCTGAGGTTTCAGTAACAAAATGATTATGAAAACTGTGTGAGAGGGGTCTGTGATGGTCACAATTTCTGATGACACCACCATGTGCTAAACTCTTTTTTTTTTGCCATTTTGGCTGGGGCTGGGTTTGAACCCACCACCTCTCATATATGGAGCTGGCGCCCTACTCCTTTGAGCCACAGGTACTGTCTAAAATAACATCTTAAGTCACCCTCCCCCAGTGGCTGACTGACTGGACCCCTCTTGGCCAAGGAGATCTCCTAAAACTGAGTTGCTAGCCTTGAAAAAGGAGATAAGACATGCTTCATTCTGTCCCCTGTCCTCCTTACAAATGTCTTCTGTGACTCGTTACTAGGGCTAAGGCTATGCAAGACCTACCTGCAAGTCCTCTATATACACAATAAACCACTTGAGTCTGGACATATGTCCAGTAGTTTGTCCCTAATTAACAGGCTCTTATCTTAATTCAAGCATTCCTTTTGTCTGACTCCTGGTCATTAGACAAAGCCTAACTCTTTCAGCCAATTGTCAATTGAAGAATCTTTAAACCCTTTAGGGGCCAAACCAATGTATGCCTTCCACATACTGATTCATGACTTTACGTGTAATTGCTGGCTCCCTGAAATGTGTAGAACCAAACTGTGACACCCCACCACCACCACAGTGAGTCCACTTGCTCAAGACTTCTGGGATAGTGGTTTTGGATCATGGTCCTCAAATTTGGCTCAGAATATACTTCTTTAAATTATTTTACAGAATATGCCTTCTTTTCCATTGACAATATATAAATATATTTATTTATTTTTCCTATAACATCTCTGATATATATTTTTACTTGTCTTCTCCAAGCCCAGAATTGTAAGTCTCCATCTTTTTTGTGTCTGCATAGTATTCCATGGTATACATATACCACAATTTGTTAATCCATTCATAAGTTAATGGCATTTGGGCTGCTTCCATGACTTGGCAATTCTGAATTGGGCTGCAATAAACATTCTAGTGCAAATGTCTTTGTTGTAAAGTAATTTTTGATCTTCTGGGTATATACCTAGTACAGGAATTGGGAGCTCCATTTGGACACGTCTGGGCCTGGAGGGGAGTTTGACAGTCCAGCCACCAAGGCTCTGCCTTCTAGTGAAACAGGTCACATCCCCCCTTCCTGTTTCTTTTCCTTTTTTCTTTACAATGCACCTCCCATGGCTTATGAAGATATACTAGATGTTTCAATAGGTGGGGTAAGGAGAATTCTGTAAAATATACACTTCAGTATTGGTTTTGTTGATGGTATAACAGAAATTCCCCTGAGAAGTTAAACCCATTGCAGAGAAGTCTTTGCCTTTTGGATGTCTATAGTTTGTAATGTTGTTTTATTCCTTTCACGCCCACATTTTTTCTGAAAATCATTCTTCTAACTCTGTCCTTAACTAGTAATGAGATTTCTAGGAAGCCTAATTCCTATGCATTGGAATGAGTCTTACCCCAACATTCATCACCCTACCCCTACCAGTACTACGAACTTCCACAGGCTTGTTTCAAATCTTCCTAAAGATCTGCAAGCTACCTGTTCAGCCTTACAAATCTCTCGTGGAAAACCATTCATTGTCAGCATCAGCACAGTCTGCATTGGTGAGGGGAACCATATATTTTAAACTATGATAATTTGTAAGATCGCCTCCCTTACAATGGAATCATCATTTTGCTTTATGAGACAGAGCACTACCAATTTCTTTTCTAGATCTCCCTTTCAACTTTTCCTCTTGATTGTACATAACAATAAGCAATCGTCTTCATCTAACCAGGAGTCGCACACTTTTTAACTGTCTTTTACTATTTTGAACGTATGTAATTAAAGCATCAGGCCCCAGTGGCCAACATTTCAGCAGCTGAAATCAGCATGCATGAAACACATACAAAATTTTCTTTAAACAACATTCCTTGAAGTTTGTTCTTTTTAACAGAAAATAATTGGATAGAAGAGAGTCTAAAATAATTCTCACCACATGAATATAAAAAGATGCTATCCTATTACGCCAAGCAAGGTGAATTTTTCTCTACATAGTTTAGCTTTATTCCAAAAAAAGGAACCCTGCCTTATTAAAAAAAACTCTGCTTAAATTTGGCTTTAGGTACAGGAATTAGGAAAGGTTTAAGTTTTAGTACGGTATCTTCTAACAAAATGTTTGATACTTAGTATTCTAATTTAAGGGAGATAATGAATCATAGATGCATAGAAATCATAAAAGAACCAAAAATTATTTAATTTGGAGGCAGATCAAATACAAAATAGAAATTGATTATCTGCTATGCACACAATAAGCTATAAAGCAGGGGCATGAGTGTATTTTCACACCAGGACATGAAGTTATAGACACAATACTATTTAAAGCATAGATTCTTGAAAGCTGCTAATAGAAGATAGTCAAGATTTCTCTGAGGCTTCTCAATTATTGTCATGAATTCAGTTTGTCCTTTAAATATTTTATATGGAACTTGTTTCTCACCTTTGTTTTTCAGGCTAGAGATCAGGGAGGTCCACAAAAGGGTCCCACAAATTTAATAGCTAAATCACTGAGGTCTCTGGGGTATGCTTCTGTTCAGGGTCACAGAGAATTGCAGTCTAGTGGGAAAGCTTCGTGTATGCCGTCTGCTGAGACAATTTTTGGTTTGGCAATTTTATTGCAAATATAAGATATGGAAATAAAGACCAAATATGGAAATAAAGACCAAAAGAAGGGGGAGAATACCAGCATTAGGAAAAGCTTCCTTCTGGGTTTTTGATGTGTTTGTACAGGTCACAAGTTAACTTCAGAAATTTCATGGGAATGCTTTTGGAAAGTGGATTAAGGGTAACTGTAAAACGAAGGGTCAGCAGCTTGACACACAGCCAGCGGGCTGTCCAGGTTGCTGCGGTGAGCAGAATACGCAGCTGGGGCTTCCCAGTGTTCGGATATTCCAGCAGCTGACTGCTGGGGACAAGCTGGCAGCATAGGCAAGAGAAGAAGAAAACACGGGCAGCCGAACCCCGAAAATGGAGAGAAACTCAGGTCAAACACTGAGATATTTTTTAAGGGAAAAAACACATGTAAAGTCCAAAGGAACAAACAATAGTCTCCAGTGCAATGTTTCCTGAGATGGTACATAATAAAAATCAGAATAATCAAATACATGTGCCAGCCCTTTGCCATGCACTGTAGAGCAAATTCAGATATTACTGTGGGATTTCCCATTTTAAAGAAGAGTCAACACAGGATATATATGAAAAGAAAATTTTGCTTAATATAAAGAATATAAAGATCCTTTTTTTTTTTTATTGAATGGTAACTATGTACATTAATGCACTTCTGGGGTACAGTGTGGGGTTTTCACATGCAATCTGAAATACTTCCA